ATCGCGCTGTCGCCCTCCCTGGGCTGCACACAGCAGGCCAGGATCTCGTGCTGGGGCAGCCAGAGGCTAGGGATCGCGCTGCTGCCAGCCCCAGGCGGGGCGGCGCAGCGGGATCTGCCTGCAGTATGCAAATTAGCCACCATCTTCGTTGGTGGTTAATTTGCATATCGTGCTGATTAGCCAATGGGAGGCGTAGCGAAGGTATGGTCAATTACCATGTTTGTCTATTATTAGATTTTTTTCAGTCCAAAATTGTTATCCTCTTTACCTTTCTATTTCTGTTCTATTCTTGCTGTCTGTTTCTAGCTATGGATAGAAGGAGGAGGCAGATGGAAAACTAAGAGGGGAAAAAAGGGAGCAAGACTATATTAAAATCCACACATTTTAGAAAATAAACAAACAAAACCCCCAAAAAACTGGGCTCCTAAAAAAGTGAAACATACATACACAGAAGATAGCCAGAGAGAGGAGCACAGAGTTTACCCACTTATAGATCTGAGTTAAGACACAGAGCCCAGCCTGCGTGGCTCAGTGGTTGAGCATCGACTTATAAATCAGGAGGGTCATGGCTCAATTCCCAGTCAGGGCATATGCCTGGGTTGAGGGCTTGATCCCCAATGTGGGGCATGCAGGAGGCAGCTGATCAATGATTCTCTCTCATCACTGATATTTTTCTCTCTCTCTCTCCCTTCCTCTCTGAAATCAATTATATATATATGAGATTTATTGAGGTACACGGTATTAGAAGAAAGTAAGTCAGGATTATAGAGAAACTGATTTAGGGACTAATATGAAGGACTAGAATGATCTGCATGTGGGTTACATTAAAACACAAAGCAGGGTTTCCTAGATCTTCACTGTTCTTTATGAAGTTTCATTTCACAGTATTTGAATGGGGTAGTACTGGGCCATTCTGGGGTCTTTCCACTCTAGTTTCCTGGGGTATGAGTGCTTGGAATTTGTTTCTTGTACCTATGGAAGAGATATATTTTAGGTCAAGTGGGACTAACTAAACAGGGAGACAAGGGAGCCTGTAATAAGAATTTTAATTACAGCGTAACAGAGTACAGACATGGGATTCCTGACTACCAGTGAACACTTTGGGATAAAGCATGGGCTCTAATCATGAAGAGCTCAGAGCAGCTCTCCTCAGGTTATTAAGGAGACTTTTAAACCTAGAATACTGAGATTCCATTTAGAATAAGTTTTAACTCTTATGCTGATGGCTTGGATGGTCCCCATAGAAGTAAAACTTCACTTACACCCTAGTTGGTACCAACATCTACCCATCCAGCAACAGAAGGAGGAAGAGGAGCTCTTTTATGGCATGGAAAACAGAAAATATTGTGTGTGGGGGGGTGTGCTTTATGATATAGGTATTGCAGGGGTCTTGAGTGTTATTTCCTTTCCCCCTAACACCAACACATAAATATATGTTTATGGGTCAATAGTCACATGAGTACATTCAGTCAGACTATGGTGGGAGCTATGGTCCTTTTAAACTCCATATATAAATATAGTAAGCAAAATGACCTTGTTAATTATACAGGATATACTGAGAGATGGGGTATAGCAGAAATGTGGAATGGGGTAAGAGATCCCACTGACAATTTTCAGGAGGAAGAGGAAGAAATATGTAAAGCAAAAATCTCCCAGACTGACACTACGAAGAGCACTTTGGCCAAAACTTCATCCTTACTCTTCTCTTCTGAAAACTAACAAATGAGAAATGGGGGAGAGAGTGGCATGTCTCCAAAAACAGATCTTTCCTACCACCCACAGCACAAGAGACATGACTGTCCTTCCAGAGCTTGCTTGAATCTGAGCAAAGGGGGATCTGGCACTGAGCAGTGACTCACCTGTGAGATCATGTGATTATTCAAGGGTGGCTGTTGCTGAGACGTGGGTGGAAGAGCAGGAAGTTGCTGCTGCTGCTGCTGCTGTTGCTGGGCAGTACAAGGGAGAAGGCTCCGGACAGACTGGGATGAGGTGACCTGGTTGCACACTTCTGGGGCACCTAGAGCCATACCTAAGGCAAAGAGGAGACCCACCAAGAGCTGTAAGTGCAAATCATGAACATACCACCCCTGGAGGGCCCAGCTGCAGGGCCCTAGTCTTTCTTTGCTGTTTCTCCTCACTCTCCTGTCCATTTCCCCAACTGTCTTGGGAAGATACACGTATTAGCACGGATGCATTTCAGCTGTCCTGATGATGGGAGTCCTCATCTTAGCACGTTTCTGTTCCCTAGGGACAGTAACCACCTTGACTGTCAATGTTTGGTTTTAGAATTGAACAAAATGTGAGGCTAAGTCACCTCCCCCGAAGTGCCTAGAATCTGTCCATCATGATTAGATATTTGCAAACATAAATGTTTATTTCCTGGGAAGGTACAGATTCCTAGTCCTTTAAGAGACTTGTTTTCTCTTTGATTTCTTCTCAACTTTCAGCATCTCACAAAAGTTGCTGAGAAGGCAGCCTTGCCTCTCCACAAATACTCACACAAATACTCACAACCTTCATCTATTTTCCCCATTTCCAGGCTCTCCAAGTCATGCATGCATTCACACAAAATAGTTTTAATGAATATCTACTATGTGTCAGGCATTGTATAATGAACTGAGTACACTAAAACAAAGGGAACACAGTCTTTGCCCTTAAGCAGCACAGGATCTCCTGACAAAAGATGAACACCCACACAATGATTATAATCTCATAAGGATAAGGACTGCATCACTGATACAAACATAATTGTACGAAAGCAAAGATGAGGAAGCAATAACTCCTGGAAGGGTTAAAGGGAAGGGTTTATTTATTTATTTATTTTTTATATTTTATTGATTTTTTACAGAGAGGAAGGGAGAGGGATAGAGAGCCAGAAACATTGATCAGCTGCCTCCTGCACGCCCCCCACTGGGGATGTGCCCGCAACCAAGGTACATGCCCTTGACCAGAATCGAACCCGGGACCCTTGAGTCCGCAGGCCGACGCTCTATCCATTGAGCCAAACCGGTTCTGGCAAAGGGAAGGGTTTAAAGAGGAAGTGGCAGGAGAGATAGTTTTGAAGGATGAATAGAAGGTTTATAAGACTGAGAGAAGACAAAGCTAATGTCATATTCAAGAAATCGTTGGAGGGTCAGAGAAAGATAGATATCTTGAAATGAGATTGAGATGGCAAACTAGAGCCAGGAAGTTATGCTATAATAAGTAATTTAGATTTCACTATGCAGGAAATGGAAAAACATGAATGTTTTTAAGAGCGGAGTGATTTGATTAGATCTATGTTACAGATTGGTAAATTGCCTATAAAAAGGGCTGAGGACGGAAAACCAACTTGAGGGCTAGTGTCATAATTAAATAAGAGAAGATAAAGGCCTGTATAAAGGCAGAGGCAGTGGAACTAGAAAGGAGGTATCAGAGAAGGGCAGCAGAGACCCAAGAGTCAGAGGCAAAAATCTTTACCACTACTGACATCTTCTGAGGATAAGACCTACAGAACTTCTGGGATGAGAATCAGGTAATTCTTCATAGGCAGGAGGATGGTGGAACAGAGTTCCACTGGGCATAAAGAGCTAAATATTCCTCTGCTAAGAGTGCAACAGGAATAGATGGAGAAGGATTCACAGCAGATGAGAAGAGCTAAAGCGTGGCTACAGGGGTGGCAGGTGGAACTCATGCTCCTTTTCTCAGTGACAAGCTCCAGAGAAGCAGCCACAGAAGTACCTCTCTAAGTCCTAGCCTATTGGCTGCCACCAATGAATTATAAATAGCTAAATTCTCTGCTCTACAGACCCTCCTTATAATCTCAGAGGCCACAGAATGAAAGCAGCTATCTTCTCATCTCAGTATGTGACCTGAACCTGGGCTTATAGGGATGTCCCACCTCAGTCAGAAATCAGATCAAATAATCCAATCCAGTCAGTTTTGTTCAATTAGAAAAGGTCTGAAAGAAAATCAGAGAGAGTACTCAAAAGGACAATGAATTAATTCAAGAAATCAAAGTTCCCCTCCTCTGGCTGTGTTAGGTTTCCAGGACACAATATTGGCACAAGTGTTTTATTAAAAGTAAGTATCAGGGCTGGGGAGAGGTCAACAGGGAAAAAAGGAGACATATGTAATACTTTAAACAATAAAGAATTTAAATTTTAAAAAAAGTATCAGTGTGATTTTTTGCAAACGACAAGCAAAAAATTATAGCATGACACAGGTGAGAAGCTGTAGTACCTGGCCTGGAGATCCTTCCTGCACTGCCAGCTTTACTGTTCCCAATGCTGTCACCCCGGGTGAGGATAGAGATTCCGCTGAAACTGCTGGCTTTGGTGACAGGGGGCCGCATGCTTCGAACAGAGCCATCAGAGTCCGTGCTGCTCCAAGGCCGTGGCTCCAGGGATTTGAGTTCGCTGTCTGTGCTGCTCTGGCGGCTGCTCGAGGTGCGGCTTAGCCCCTCACGGTTCCCCCTGTAGAGACCACAGTGATCAGAGCACCCTCCACCTACCACTTCTGCAGAAGGGCTAGGAGAGAGTTCATTTCTATTCTTTCAATAACAAAGAGGGGGTGAGGTTGTGGAGAGGATGGACACTGACTTCTTGTTAGTTGGCTGGCCCACCAAGAGTTGATGAGAGCAGACAGAACAATACCCAGTATATTAACAAAGAGCGTGGGGCACATCTGGAAGACAGCGCACTGGCAACTCAATACAACAGACCAGAGGTGGGTGGGAACCACACACATGATGCTGAGATTGGCTGTGGTCTCTTCCCCCAGCTCCCCACTGCGGGACCCCAGACATGCAGGAAATAGTGGGGAGCAGAGGGGTATCATCTCTTTCTGGGAGTTCTTAAAACAAAAGGACTCCTAGAAGTTATGTGCTAGAAGGCAGGAGTAGCCAATGACATGGATAGATCCCACAACAGGTCTTCCACATAATGTGTCTAAGACAGCAGAGGTGTTTCTTTCTTTTTTTTGTTAATCCTCACCCAAGGATATTTTTTCCATTGATTTTTAGAGAGAGTGGAAGGGAAGGAAAAAGACAGAGAAACGTTGATGTGAGAGAGACACATTGATTGGTTGCCTCCTGCATATGCCCAATGAGGGCCGGGGATTGAGCCTGCAACCGAGGTATATGCTCTTGGCCATTATTAAACCCAGGACCCTTCAGTTCGTGGGCTGATGCTCTGTCCACTGAGCCAAACTGGCTAGGGCATTTTAAAAAATATATATTTTTAAAATTGATTTCAGAGAGGAAAGGAGAGGGAGAGGTAGAAACATCAATGATGAGAGAGAATCATTGATCACTGCCTCCTTCACACCCCCCACTGGGGATCGAGCCTGCAATACGGGCATGTGCCCTGACCAGAAATCGAACCGTGACCTCCTGGTTCATAGGTGGATGTTCAACCACTGAGCCATGCCGGCTGGGCAGAGGTGTTTCTTATGACCACTGTTTCTGGGGTGGGAAGAGTATAGTGGACTAAAGGGGCACTCTGGAAAACTCAGTCTGATAGTCTGGAATTGACCTAACCTGTTTTGTGGAAGTTCTGTGTTAGCATCGGGGAACAATTGGTTCCAGGGTCTCTAAGGACTGAAGTCTTTGGCATGATCAAGCAAATATGCTCTTGGGACCCAGGATGGCAAGCAGCAGAGGATGGACTGTGCCTAGTTGCCTCCATGTAAATAACCCTGCTGCCCTAGGCAAGGTGCAAGGCTATGGAGAAAAGGGATTCATCCTCTCTTATTTTGCTCTAGAAATATCAGGGTTATCCTGATGATATATGCTTGTGTCTATGAAGTGCTATACTCAAGATAGATAGGGTTGGATTGAAAGACCTAAGTCTTGTTGAGCTCTTACCACTTCTTATTCAATAAGCAACCAAGAACGAGGGGTTTTCCTTTCACATCTCCCATTCCCAACAACTGATAATCTAAGGAAATCAAATGACAACAATTACAAAGATTTTGGTATGTATACTGGGGAGCAATTGAGCAAAACTCATAGTAGCTTGAGCTCCATCCTTTTCACCATCATTCTACCTAAGGTAAGTAGAAAACCCCCTCCCAATCCCCTTAGTTTCAAAGACACAAGGCTCACAGTTATTCTACTATAGAAAGGTATTTTTCTTTCTCCATTAATTTTTAGAGAGAATGGAAGGGAGGGGGAGAAGCAGAGAAACATTGATGTGAGAGAAACACATCGATTGGTTGCCTCCCACATGTGCCACGACCAGGGCTGGGGGTTGAGCTTGCAACCAAGATACATGCCCTGACGGGAATCTAATCTGAGACCCTTCAGTCTGAGGGCCAATACACTAACCACTGAGGAAACCGGCTAGGATGAAAGGTATTTTTCTTAAGGGGGTAATATTAAAGACAATACCTTTCTTTATAGACTACCTGTTCCAAAGGAACTATAGAGAAAATGGGCAAAATATTTGCCTGAGTCACTAGTTTAGCTGTTTAGCTAAGCCAGTCATGGTGGGCTAACAACACACTGGCACAGCTGGTTAGCGACATACTAATTCTTCTCTGAATTCCAAGTAATTTATAGAGAGTAGTAGTAAACTACTCTCTATATCATTAGAATAGAGGGCTAGAAAATATTCCTCGTTCTCCAAAACTTTATCCCTTTTTCTTGGGGATGTCAAAGTAGAATGGGAAATAAGAAAGACGTATAAATCAGGGAATCTCCAGACCTCAAGTGAGAGCCAATAGCTCCATCTAAATGAACAAAGGCAAGTCTACTGAGAGGACTCAATAAAGATGTGTGTGTTTTCTGGGGTAATGGAATACAGCAGTAGCAATGGATGAGGCTGCTTACTAGACATTAGAGCTTAAATTTTGCAAAAATCTTAATGGCCTTTTATACCTAAATCAAACACAGTACTATCTATTAGAAAAATTCTGCCACTTACTTTTTCTACCAAAGGACAGTGAATGAGTCAACTTTAAACCAAACACCCTGGGAAGCTTGAGCCGAAGTGGCAGCACTTCTGTACTCATCCAGTTTCCTCCCCCAAGATAGTGATGGCCAAGTTCTCAAAATGTGGCTCATCTGATCATCTTCTGACTAACCTGAGAGTTAAAGGACCTAAGTTGAGTCTTGGTCAGGAAAGAGATCAGTTTTCCTTCCCTACGACTACACCCAACATCTAGTCAAGTCTTTCCACTTTACTAAAAATAAAACAGTGAGGGAAAACTACCAAACTCAATCCTGAGCATTGGATTGGATTGTGTGTTAGAGAGAAGGGTGAAGAACAGAGAAAATTCACACTTTATACTCCTGTAAAATCAGAGCTGACTTAGTTTTTACAAGTAGATTCAGTGCCGTGAAAAGTCCAGTTTATTGTGTCTAAGAAGTGGGAAGAGAAGTTTGTGGAAGAGGTGGCAAAAATATCAGTAACCCTCATTGTGGCTTATTTATCAGTGCAATAGAATCTTTCAAAGGATTGGGAAGCTGCCATAGTTATTGCCAATTGTGGATGAGGAAATCTGGTATATCAGTATTTATTTCACAAACTTGGGAATAAAGGTATAAAGCAGTTAGAGAAGATCAGCTTCTAATCATTAGAGTTCTGAACTAGAACCCAAATAGAGAATGAAGTACCCCCTTAAGAGTTCATGGAGCTGCATTTAAATGACCTAGATTTTTAATCAAAATTCAGTATGGAAAGCAGCATCATAAAAGAGGTCTGGATAGGAGAAAGCTGCACCTGCTAACTAGATCCTTCAAGCTATCCTATATAATAAAAGGCTAATATGCAAATTGTCCCCTTGAGAGTTTGACCGGGAGTTCGCTATGAAGTGCGCTGACCACAAGGGGGTGGCGTGGAACATGGCAGGCGACCAGCAGCAGCGGCGGGGCGCTGAGGGAGCGAGGGAAGGAGGAGGCGGGGAAACTGATCAGCCCTGATTGCCGGCCAGGCCTAGGACCCTACCCGTGCACAAATTTTGTGCACCAGGCCTCTAGTTATCTGCATAGTTTGATATAGTTTGATGCTTCGCAGCACTAATAAGGGCATCATTCTTAGCAGTAAGTCTGAATTAGGGCTCTGAATGGAACAATACTCAGATAGGAAGGAGTGATGCTTGTAGAGAGCTGGTGTGGTATGATAAAAAGTACACTGGACAAAGAGTCAGTTCCAGTTTTGCTACTAGTAGCCATGAAAACGTGGGTTGGTCACTTAAATGTTTCTGCTTTTGTTTTCTTTCATGTAAACCAGTTTATCAAATCAGGACAGTGAGAGAACTGAATCAGCTAGTGTACTTTAGCAACTGTCAAGCACTGTGCACAAAGTCACACATAGAAGTTAGTTTAAAACTCCTGTTTATTATAGGTATTCTGGCATGAATTCTGACTGAAGTGTACAATATGGAACAGGAACTTATTTATTTTTTAAAAAGGGGGACTCTATCTCAACCACCACCACAAATGCAGAGCCCTTTCTACCTGGGGCTTTCATATGGACATAAGGTTGGGATAGTCTACGAAAAAAAGTTCAAAGATATGGAAAGGAAGATAAATCCTTCATCCCAAGAATGGAAAATCTCTCTATCCCAACCTTCAGATGGCTTAACTAACTTTAGAAAGGAAAACCCGGAAGGGACAACTGAAGTACTGGGGATGAGAGCTCTAACTAATCTGAGTTAGTCAGGTCCTATCAAGCTTAGGATTCAAAAAGACAGAAGCCCTTTGGAAAGGATTAGACCTGAATCCTGGTATTAAATATTGTGCTCTACAGTTTTTCTACAGTAAATGGGAAGAATATATTTAAAATGAGTTGGTGCCAGGATAGGGTCCTAAAGTAGCTCTTCTCTCATCACCACCTTTAGTAATCTTCTGGGGTGGAATGGAGAGACTGAAATAAAAGGGAGGTTCTTATGATTGCTTTGTGGAAAATGGAGAATATTAGATACTGGAGAAGTTAGTACAGCAGCTTTCGCCAACAATTAAGAGCAAGTCATGAACAATCACATAAAGGACATGCTCTAAAGACCTCCTAAGGCAGACAGTCCTTTCTGAGGTTCTTCTTGGGCCTCAGAAGTGGGTCATCTTACCCATTACACATTGTTCCAAAGAGAGAACTACAAAGACAGAGGTGTTTGTATGTATATGTGTTAGTACTATTCTTTCTTAAAGATACAAAACATTCCCTATGCTGGGTCAGAAATAAGCTCTTCATATCATTTCACAGATTCAGAAAAGGTAGCTTAAAAGACATCCATTCTTTTACCTTAATATGTTGAACTCCTCCAAAAATGCCCAATTCCAGCAAATTTCTGGGAAGAAACAGTACCTATCCCATATAATATAACTATTTGGTCCCCTTCACCACCTATCCAGGACTTAAAATGAAATCAGCAACAATAAAAATAAAGTCATTGAGCAAAAGCCATGTTTTTTTAGTTTTTTTAATGGGGACAAATATCCAATGTTGCAAAAACCACAAACTGAATTATTCCACAAGCAGCCATGCATGGAGCAAACTCACTCCGCTGAAAAGATTACAGCAAAACAAAATAAAGCAAAACAAAACAAACAAATAAAAACAAAAACAAGGAAAGATATAGATTACACAGAAGTACCTAAAAATCTGCCTTCTCTTGTGAGAGCTAGAAGAAAAGGCTTCTTTGGAGAGTCTGTTGGTTAACATCAAAGAAAAGCATCATTACAGGATTATATTAACCTCACTGGAAAGCTCAATGAGAAGCAGAGAACATGCTAAGTGGTACTAACCTGATGTCATTTAGATATCCGTTCTGGCCAGTCTAGGTGAGGGGGAGAAAACGGAAAATAACTTATAAGAAAACAGCATGGCATAACCGAAAAGGGTGTCCATGATGCTATGAATACCCAAGGTCCTCAAACCAAGCTCACCCCCCAACAGGGAGAGAGGGAGCAGGGACAGGATGACCCACACCCACGCACCCAATCTGACTTCTCACCTTTAATGGGAAAGAGCATTGAGCATTTTTAGCCTTCCCAGAGTGTTTAAAAAGAGAGGTTGATAAAGGTAGGAGTATGGAAAGGAGGAAGAGGAAAGTATTAACCTAACTATTATTTCCTTTTTAAGCTCTAAATTTATTCTCTCTAGAGGTAAAGTGAGCATAATAATTGGTGTGCTTGTCCTAAAGAATGTGTTCAAAGAAAGGAAAAAGGGAGACAAGAGAAAGAAATTTCGTTTTTTGGAAATCATCCTCAATGATTATTCCATTTCTGTCCTCTACACTGGCCAAAATGAAAGACATTCTGACCTGAGACCCAATGAGAGTAAGAATTGGGGAAGCAGGTACTTTTTAGAGCCTAGAAAAATGAGAAAATTAAAAGCCTGAAACATTCCTTTTGGGGATATTTCCTGAGAAAGCCACTGAGCTGAGTGAAGTAAGCTTTATAGTGGACTCCCAACCCTTAGAAAAAGGTACCAAGAGTATTGAGCAGAGTGGGCTCCACACAGAGCAGAGCCTATATGGGGCAGTTTTCCCAATACACAGCTCAGGCTCCAGAGAAGGCTGCAGCATCAGCATTTCCATCCAAATACCCTTCGTGCCACTTCTCTTTTTTTTGGCCTGCCTTTTCCTCAACTCCACCCTTAATCATCTCCCTTTGACTGGCCAGGTTCCTCTCCACATGGGAATCTTTGGAATATGGTGGACTTTGGCCATTTTTCTTTGTCTACACCTTCTGAGATTCCTGATGCCTCTACCTACAGCAAGATGTAGGAAGTGCTGAAATGAAAGTGATAAATCCGCAAGGTAGGTAGATATATTCTAGTGTTGTTCATATGGAATATGTAGGTAGACATATTCCAGTGTTGTTCATAATTAGCCCCAATACCCTATTAAAAGTTGCTTGTACTTTCAGAATAGCTGTGGCTTTGCTAATATACTGGCATGGTGGGACAGTCATTTTCCATGTGTCAGTGAAGCAGAGGTACACATCACAGTTTGCTATGCTATGATGTCACTGGTACTTCTTAATCTAAAGAGCTCAGAGCAGAGCAAACTACTGAGAGGTAGTTTACTTTAGGGGTTAAGAGCATGGACTCAAGCGTGGCCACCTGAATTAAAACACCAGCTTTTACTAACTAGTGGTGTGATCTTAGGTTAGTTAACCTCTCTCTGCCTCAGTCCCACATTTATAAAATGAGGAAAATAATAAAACCTAGTATGAGGATTAAATAATTTATGCGGAGTGCTAAGAGAGTGTCTGAAAGATAGTAAACACTATATAAATGTTTGCTATTATCATTCACCAACCTGCTCTGTCACAATTTAGGGTCACGACCAGCCACAGCCATGTACAAATGATCTCTTTTCATTCCACCCAATTGGTTTGCAGGTAAAGGTTACAGCATCCTCTTTGAGGATTACCCAATTATCCTGATTGGTAAGAAGGTAAGAAGATTCCTTCTTTTTGGACCTTGGGCCAGAAGGTTTGTCCTATATCTGTCCCCAGTAAAGAGGATCCTTCGAACACGTGGGTCTCCTGAGACAATGGAACAAGTTCATAGAGGAGTTCAGTTTTCTTGAAGTTGGAGACAATATTTTTCTGAGCTGTGATGATGGAAAGGTGTGTGTGTGTGTGTGTGTGTGTGTGTGTGTGTGTGTGTGTGTGTGTGTATTCTTCTTGGCGGAGGGGAGAGTGGGGAAATGGGAGGAGAGTAGTGTCCATCTAAGTATATTGATTATAACTAGCTATGTTTTGACAATGAAGGGAAGCTGGTTTTCCTCTTTTGTTTGCTAATTTGAATGTAAGATGGTGCTGCTTTCTGGATCCTACATTTTCTGGAGATTTGTTCCCCTCTTGCCTATCTATGGCCTTTCCTGAATTTCTGCTATATTTCTCTTCAGTCTGGTAGGCAAAGGTCACCAGATACAGGAATATCAAGTATATTTGATTTGGCTCACAACTCTTAAGAATAAAGTTGCCTAAAGTGACTCATGCTGGCTTTTGGCCCAAATAGCCAGTCCTATTCTAAGAAGCAAGTTAAGAAATATAGGAAGAAAGAAACTTTCTGTTCAGGTAGAGACTGGAGGGACTAGTGAGTGGTACCTTCTGTGAATATGGAATGTGGAGCTCAGAGAATAGATGACAGATCTGTGCTCTAACAATCACCAACATATCCTAAAAATGAGGCTAGCCAAACAAGATAAAATGTATAGGCTGTGTGGACACTAAGTCTTCCACTTAGAAGCAAAGATGCCTAAAATGGATAGTGGAAGTGAGAGAGGGTAAGTGGGAGGAGGGTTTGACAGGCAAGATTCAGAGCCCTTCCATAAGCCCTGACAAAACCATTTCTATTTTCAGTCTAATCATATCCACCAAATTCAGCCACTCCATTTGTTCTCTTTGTATGCCATACAGCAGAATGTATTAAAAAATAATATAAATGAAACTCTGCAGCTTCCTAACAAGCCACATTTAATTTTAGAGATCAAATCTGGGGCTGGCTGATTTTGGTTAAAAAACAACAACAACAACACATTTATGGAGGGTTCATTCCATTCACAGTTCCAAAGATTAAGAGCTAAAAGCTATGGGCTGACATCTCTCAGAAGCTACACTTACCTCTCGGGCAAATATTCTCTCTCGGACCCTTTGATATTCCTCCTCTCTCTCTTTTAGTGACTTGCTCCTCCTTCCATCCTGCAATGGAACTCTGATCTAGATCGATGAGCAGAATTAAGCTAGTTAAGTTCTCCTCGTACTGCAAGCTCACTGCACACCAGCAAGGAAGAGAAACCGGGAGAGTTTATAGTTGCCATCAAAAAAAAAAAAAAAAAAAAAAAAGGGGGAAAAAAAAGCACTAAAATTTCCAGTGTTGGACAGGTTTCACTGGGTACATCTGACCATGCAGTTTGGGAGATCAGGTTTTCTGGATGGTTGGGGCCTCTCCATCTCCCCACCCCCACCCCCAGAGTATCAAGAACAACAACTATTTATGAGGATTGGGTTGCTTCCTTATAGTATTCAGGTACTCTCCAGTCAGTAAGGATCAAGAGAACAGCTGAGGGAATAAACAACATTGCTCTGAAGGGAAAGCAAGGGATAGGAGGAAGCTAGAGAGGGAGAAGAAACATGCATTTAGCAGAGCTGAATGTAGAAAAGAGTTTTACAGATCTAACATCTGATATTATCCCTTCTTTAGTCACTAATGAATGCCATGTCCTGAAGATCCAAGTTGCACACAGCTCGGCAAAGAGGGCTTTGGAAACAAAATCCCAAAGGTAAAGCTAAACTCAATGCTTAAGAATTTTTTTCTCATCTTAACTGTAACTCCTGGAGGGAGGGAGAGAGAAATTACAGAAATAGAGAAGTAAGAGAACAGAGCAACACAATGAGGTAGAGAAAGAAAGGGTGAAGAGAACAGAAAGAAGGATGGACAGAGAAAGGAATAGACAAGATAAGGTGGGAGGAGGGGAGAGAGAGCGATAGGAAGGGAAAAGAAGAAAATGGTGGATAGGGAACCTTACATCCTCTGAGAAATGTAGTGAGGTGACTAGAGGGATGGCTGAGCAGATCACCACCTCTGGCTGTCTACCACCCAACTCTCCAACACTGTCTTTTCCTCTCTTGGCCTGTGAGTTATGAGCACTATCTTGGCTAGGGTGTTATAGAGTGTCCTTTCCCATGCTGCTCTTGAAGGCAAGGAGCTCTGAGGGAGGTAACCCATCAAATGAATGTCATCAGGTTATAAGATTCTGACCTTCAATTCAGAGGCTTTAGAAACTTTAGATGAAACAACCAAGAAGACTGCTGCTCTAGGCTGACTTTCCCCATCTTCACCAATCTCCAGAGATAGGCATACCTTCAGGAGTATCAACTTTTGACTAGATTTAGTTCTCACTAATCTTAAGAACCTAAATTCTACTACATGTCTTTTTACAAATCCCATTCCAAGAAGACACAGGACTTTATGGCGCTATATTGTCTTCAGCCTCTAGTACTAGTAAACCAGTGGCAGAATAGAAAGTACATAATGGGCTTTGAGGTCAGGCAGCATCTCAGCTCTGCCACCGCTGAGTAACGTCACTTCAGGCAAATAACATCTCTTAGCCTCAGTTTTCTTACATTTAAAGTGGGGCTAATAACCCCCATCTACACTGGGGTGTGGAGATTAAAAGATAATGTATATGTGTTAGGAACAGAATCTAGTTCAGGAAAAACACCCAATAGAATAGCAATTACAGTGTTTATTATTAGTATCACAGACAGAAAGTGCACAGAGCCTAACCTATTGTGAATCAAGCCTGAAGCTGAGAGATAAAATAGGCACAAATTCCACTCATGTGCCTTGAGGCCTGAATAATTCCTGATCCACAGAAAAAAGGTTTTAGGAAAATGGAGAGAAGGGCATCAGGATGGAAAGGCTCTTTCTTATTTTTTAAAATTTGTTTGTCTTTTTGTATATTTCATTGTTTTCAATCAGACCCAGCATGTTTGTCCACAACAGATAATGGTACTTTTCTCAAAAAAACTCCCTCAAATACTCAAGTAACAAGCAGGAAAGTCCTGGTCTCAAGATGATACAATATAATACGGAAACTAATTTTTACTCTAGAGGTAAGATATTACTATAGTTATCATTAATTAGCAAGACTCAAATTGGCACTATCCAACCATGCTCTTCAAACCTTAATCCTGGTTCTCCACCTAACCTCCTTTGGAGGCCAAGTAGAAATAGGCTGATCTAAACTCTACATGTGGCTTGAAAACTAACCCCCAAATAATCACTTGCTATCTAAAGGGTGAGCTCAAAGTCAGAGAAGCCAGGCCCATAAAGGAAAGGGTGGGGCAGACTGTTCACTTCTCATTCCTATAGGAGTGGATCAAAAAGGGGATATTGTCTGAGGTTCCCAACATCAAAAGCCAAATTAACTCACTCACCTTGGTGGAAGGACTTGGGAAAAGAATTTGCAGAAAAGGAACAGAAATACCTTTAAATGTGGGTAAATCAGATCACAGGTTTGCCAGTTCAAGGCTAGCCCTGAACTAGGATAAGAGAGGAAGTGGGATAAAGTAGCTTTGAGTGGTTCCCAAAGAAATCCCTAACTATTAAAGAAAAAAAGAATGAAGTCATCAACTGAATCAAGGCAGAAGTAGGGAGGGACTTGCTTTGTCCCTAAATGATGTGGAATTAGAAGTCAGTGGCAGAACCAGGGAGTTCCAGGCCAAATAAGAAAACCCAGCAAACCTCAGCACCATGTCTCTCTGGGCTAAAGGGTGGCATTCAGCACAACAAGTGTAGTCAATCCTCAACATTAAGCCAAAGCCAACTCAGTATAGCTCAATACATTTTTCCATATTTCAAGTGTTCTCCACCCCACAAAAATTCTTCTGCCCTCCCAGTTTCTCTTACTGCAATCTCTCTCTACACCCACCCCTTTCCATTCTTTACCTGGTTATCATCTCGGTCCATACTGGCATCATCTCTCTTGAGAATGAATCTCGGTTGAAATTCTGTATTTTTCTCATCCTTTATATGTTCTGAGAACCTCTGTTCAGGGCTGGGATTGGGAGAAAAATGTGGAAGGAAGGAAGGAAAAAGCCCTTTTGTTAGGAAGCAGACCTCCTAGTACAGGTCTCTTAAATTCCACACTCCCATTCAGGGGATTTCTGGAGTCAGGCATTCAAAAAGTCACATAAGGTGTAATGAAATCCTCAGGGTCTGTTCTTTATACATCTACAACTTGTCTTCCTCCAAAGTTATATCTGTCCTATCAGCAAAGGTGAAGAGAGGCCAGGGGCCAGTCTTCACAAAACATCAGTGCCTCTAGAACAGCCGTGGGCAAACTACAGCCCGAGGGACGGATCCAGCCCGTTTGAAATGAATAAAACTAAAAAAAAAAAAGACTGTACCCTTTTATGTAATGATGCTTACTTTGAATTTATATTAGTTCACACAAACACTCCATCCATGCTTTCGTTCCGGCCCTCCGGTCCAGTTTAAGAACCCATCGTGGCCCTCGAGTCAAAAAGTTTGCCCACCCCTGTCCTATAACCTTCCTCTTCAACCCCAGAGGCTATCCCAGGAAAGTCTTCCCAATCTGTGGTTTCCTTCCTTACATTCTTGTGTTACTGGTTTTGTTGATAATGACAGCTTTTCCAGTTTGATCAACATTGTGGTCCATCCCAAAATAGGCAGCTACCCGGTGTAATAGCATCCGGTGATATGAGGTCATCTGAGGGAACTTCTTGAACTGGTTACTGAAGGGAAAACCGGGGGGATAAATAACAGCCACTTGTAATTTTCCTTAAAAGTATCTAAAATGGGGAATTTCTTAGGAGAAACAGACATATTATAAGAAAGATATTTATTCAATGGGAACCAAAAAGGTTCTCTCAGCTTCTTTAGCAATAGTCTTTTATAGACCCACTACACACATTAAGACTACTCCTTAAGTCCTAGGTCTTATCTACCTGGATAGTCTACAAGGAAAAAAGGGAGAAATTTAAGAATAATAAAATATGGAACAAGGGCTAGCTGCTGAAAATATATATATTTTTTCAACTAAAGTTTATGCAATAACTTAAACACCTCACTTGGTTCTCACACATATACTTTTTAATACATACTGATTACTACCCCCCACCCCCCCAACTCCTTTTGGTTTCCAGTGAATAGTTACATCAAAATTCAGACTTTAAGAGAAAGATGAAAGAGGGATATCCTAAAATTGTACCTAAATTTCTTTTGGTGCCCCTCCCACCTCTAAATTTGTATTTCATTCAAATAACTTACTTGTTGTCATTAATAAATTCCAGAATCTCCTGTTCTAATTTTAGCAGCATCATTCTGTCCCTGTTTAGAAAAGATTAAAACAAAACAAAAGCAGCCTCCCATAGGTATTCAAAGCAAGGATTGAGAACACAACCTGCTCATTATAAAAGCTGAAGGGACAAAGAGATCCAAACCCCAATAGTGGACCAAAATGCAATGGCTACTGAACCTCACTGACTTTTCTTATGTTACTTTAAAAAAGGAAAATAATTAACAGAGTATGGAATCTTAGAGGGAAGGCCGGGGAGGGTAGGTGGGTGGGTGGGAGGTAATCAACCAAAGATCATGTATGCATATATGCATAACACATGGACACAGACAATAGGGTGCTGAAGGTTTGGGGGGTGGGGAGTGGGCAGAGGCAGGCTGGAGAGGGTCAATAGGGGATAAAAGGGGACATATGTAATACTTTCAACAATAAAGAGTTATAAAAAAAAGAAAAGAAAAACAACTGCGTATGCATTTTGCAGATCCTGCTAACCATGTACTTTGTTATCCTTATCAGAAACCTAATTCTGTTGGCAGTCATATTCATATAAACACATACTTTACATTTATTCACCTAATTATTATTCTACATCCTATATGATTTTTATAGCATTTTAAAACTATTATGGTTTAGCTTATGTACAATCAATTATTATTTTTTTCTGTGCTTTTTAATTGTACTCCCAAGCCTTCATATTTCTTTGTCTCTGCATTCTTCTTCCACAGAATTTTTCTCAACTCTTCTGAAAGGAGAAACCTCAATATGAGGATATTCTGAAACCCTCACAGAATGTAAAACTACATTGAAGAGAAATGGTGGTAGGGGGATGGGTATCCTGAGATTCTAATGGAAAAATTCTGAGAAGCTACCTGGCCTTTTGGGTATCCTTCTGGCTGCTGGCCCCTTTGCCCCTTTCATCAAATCATGTTATTACCTTGGGTTCTTTTTCAGTGTGTTTACAAGAAATTCATGTAGGTCTATTCCAGTGGAGTCCGTATATTCTTGGCTGGAGTCTAAAACCACCACAACAAAATAAATTTAAAATAAATGAAATTGCCTTGCATAACATCTAATCCCAAGCAGAAGCCTACAACCTGATCAGGAGAGATGAGAACAGGAAAGTAGACTCAAACGTTAGGGGTTTTAGCTTAAAAACCAGAATGACTTTGATTTGCCAGCCCCCCCCAAATTCCTCATGACAATTATAGAAGGTAGAATCTAAGTCATAGTTTGGCATCAGGATTATAGTGAAAAGCCATCTTACCATCAGTATTTACTGAATGCCCTCACCAAAACAAAGCTGTTTTTATTCTACTTAAGGAAAATAAGATCCAGGTAAGGGCAATCAAGGCTGAATTTTGCATAATCTCAGCAAATATGCTCAAATGTTGATTATTTATATGATTTTTTTGGTAACATTTTAATTCCATGGTTGCTTTTTTCCTCTCAACTATCATTTTATGGGACCATGTCTTTTTGCTATCAGCCCAAGAGTTTAAAGCCAAAGAGAACTTAATAATAATATGCAAATCTGCACTGCTAAAAATAATTACTTTAATTATCCCAAAATATGAAAGGTATCTGGAGGAGCTGCAACCAGTGATGATCCATGTCACTGTTTATTCCAAAGCCAAAATAAAATCAGAATTGACTACGTCTTCCTATGGGTAGCACCAATGTTAATAGAGCAGCTCTCTGGTATGACATGAGCCCCTAAGACAGGGTTGGATAAAGCAGCAAAGAAAGTAACTTTGTTAGGTAACTTCTCAAGCAACCATGAAGTCCATAGGACACAATGAACTGTTGGGCCAGTTAGGCCAGCAGATGCCAGACTTCAAGATGGAAGGAAAGGGCACTGAAGAGCCAGGCCCTAGAACAGATTAAGAAAGAGGGAAAGTCCTCACCTCTAGATAGCATCTTCCTTGGAACCTTTTCTTTGTTTTTGTCCTTGTCTTCCTTTTCAGAGACATCCTTTGTGGACTTTTCTTCCTCTTTGTCAGAGGGGCAGCTGATGTGCAATTGAATTATATCCTTGGACAAGAGTAAAGAGAAATATAATCAAAGGGAAATGGATTTTAATTCTCCTGTAACCCCCTTAAATCTCAGAGAAGATAAACTTGGGGTGGCAGCATTCTCTTATAGAAGAGGGTATTTTATTAATTAAATTGTTTTAGCTTTTGTTTTAAAAAAAGGATAAAGGCCAAACCTTTTCTACAATCACAGCCTTATATTATATAGGCAGCTCAAGTTACACTGGCAGTTCTTGTTATAAGAATTAGATGGAAATGGTTCTAACCACCAGAGGGAAAGGGTGTGGGAGGGAAAATAATATCCAGCCCTGGGATCGGCTTGTCTGCATCATCGTGGGTGGTCCAGGTGTGAAGATCTATACTTCATGATCTCACCCAGGCCATGCTTTACTATAATGGCTTGTATCGAAGCTCCTGATTTCCAAGCCTAATGTTGATGTGGTTGCTATACTAGTTTACAAAACAACTGCCAAACTCAAAAGCTACACTTACTCTTATAAAGGACCTACCTGGGTTTCTAGTGACCCATCAGCAAATGGGGCAGAAGACTCCTCACACACTGCCAGACTGCGTACCAACTTGAGCTTGGAATTAGACTGAGAAAAAAACAAATAACATATATATTCCCTTGGCAGACATTCAGAAAGCTTTTGGCTGAATGATGGACATCCTCTTTGGCTCTGTTGCTGCTTCTATTAAATAAGGTTTTTTTAAAAACAGATCCTACTTGCCAGTTCCTGATTCACTTGAAAGATAATTCTCCCCACCCCAAAAGAAAGATAATTCTCCTGCTTATAACAGTAGACATATAAAAACAAAAAGGCTACTTTAGACAGATAGGAAAACCACTTCACTTGGCCCTCCCATTTCTACCCCCCTCTCTCCAGCCCAGTGCTCCAATTTCAGACTCAGAAGTTTACTGAGAATACACAACAGTAGACCTTAGTAGAAAGACCCCAGATTTAAGAACCAGAAGCCCTACCTTTAACTCCTGTTTTTTTGCTTATGGACTACAAGAACTTGAACTAATTACTTGACCTCTCTGGGTCTCCGTTTTTCAATAAAACTGTGATAAAAATACTTAAAGAGCTGTTGTGAGAATTAGATGACATAAAGTATGTAAACATACGTATCATAAATAGTGCCTAGTGTACAGTAGACAGTAAATGCTAAATGACTCTAAACCTTAGGTGGTAATGATGGAAAGAACTGTCTAAGAAAAGAATAAGGAGAAAGATAGAAAACCATTCTAACAATTGGAAATTAATGTGATAAAAAGTGAATCCATTTGGTTTATTTCTACTGGTGGAAGAATCCCAAAAAGGTCTGAAATCCATTTTGCAAATCACTGCTCTCCTAGGGATCTACTATGCTTTAATTATGTTTAATTTGTAATAATGAAATTGGGGGTCACCACAACATGAGGAACTGTATTAAAGGGTCGCAGCATTAGGAAGGTTGAGAACCACTGCCATAGAGTGACTTATAAGAAATTTACCTATAAACATTTACTGAGTTCTTACAATACAATCGAGGTTTACCATGAATACAAAAGTACAAAACTTGGTATATGTATTCTATGTAGAGCAGTATAGTGAAAAATATTTGCAAGTCTGTCCTGGACCATGTGGCTAAGTTAGAGCGCCAGCCCAAGCACCGAGGTGTCACAGGTTTGATTCCTGATCAAGGGCACATACTTGGATTGCATGTTGGATACCCCTCCTGGTGGGGTCGTCAATGGGAGGCAACCAATCAATGTGTCTCTTTCACATCAATGTCTCTCTCTCTCCTCCTTCTTTTTCACTCTCTCTTAAAAAAACAAACAAACAAACAAAAACTCAATGAAAAAATATCCTCGGGTGAGGATTAACAAAAACAAAAGAAACAAAAAACTTGTAAGTCTGAAGAACTGATTTCAAGCCTAGTTCTGCCACTTACTAATAAATGTCCTTTGTCAAACACACTCAGTCGCTATAAGCCCAAGTTTCCTCAACTGTAAAATGAAGATAATAACTATCTTACTTAACTCAAAAAGTTCAGGAAGGCCCTAGGTCAGTGGTCGGCAAACTCATTAGTCAACAGAGCCAAATATCAACAGTACAACGATTGAAATTTCTTTTGAGAGCCATATTTTTTAAACTTAAACTATATAGGTAGGTACATTGTTATTAACTTAATTAGGGTACTCCTAAGCTGGCCTTTGCTAAAAACGTCCTCAATCTGAGGGGTCGACCTCAGCGAACGTACCCCCACTTCTTCTAACACCACTTCTTCAAAATAGACTCGCCCAGGCCAAAAACCGACTTCTGCGCATGGAAAAAGAAGTTTCAATCGCACTGTACATGCGCGCCCGCACGTGGTATTTTGTGGAAGAGCCACACTCAAGGGGCCAAAGAGCTGCATGTGGCTCGCGAGCCGCAGTTTGCCGACCACTGCCCTAGGTGGTTTGGCTCAGCGGATAGAGCGTCAGCCTGCGGACTGAAGGGTCCCAGGTTCGATTTCAGTCAGGGGCACATGCTCGGGTTGCAGGCTCGATCCCAGGTGAGGGGCATGCAGGAGGCAGCCAAACGGTGGTTCTCTCTCATCATTGATGCTTCTATCTCTATCTATCTCCCTCTCCCTTCCTCTCTGAAATCAATAAATATATATTAAAAAAAAAGAAAAGAAAAAAGTTCAGGAAGAAGTGATATAGCAGTGAACACCCTCTGATTGAACTTTAATGTCAAGAACATCACTGTGGATTAGGCCATATAAAGCAAGACACAGATTTATCATACATAGTGGCCTTCTTTAAACCCAAGCAACAAAATGGCTGGGCCACTCTCAAATTCTGCCATTATTTTTCTGGGGGAAAAGGGTGGATGCCCTTAATTATTACTTCTGGTGATAATTCTTCCCACTGCAAGAAAAGTTTAACATTTTACAGTTTTCCAACTAAAATTAATATGCTAGCACATACTAATAATATATAGTCCTTCCTGGTAACACTACTTAAAATAATCTGTGATGTGCTAATTTTATCATACAATGATTAAAAACTAAGTCTTCCTCCTTGTCCAACCTAAAAAGTAAAATATATATTTTAAAAAAGGGCTATATTTTTAGGATGTCCAAAATCTTGAATCATTTCTACCAATGGGGCATGATTAATCTAAAAAAAAAATTCATAAAGAAAAAAAATGTTGAGGGAAAAAAGTAGGACTCATATAGCAGCTATTCTCAGAGAAGTCAGAGCTGAGTAGAAAAACTAGCATTACAGTAGAACCAGGACCAATTTGCTCAGGCTTTTGTGGGTATCCCACAGTTAACAGAAATACATGTGGCTGAACCAGAGATAATGGAGAAAAATATAGCCAGACCTTACAATAGGATATGTATGCATGCATGTCTCTCTGTGTGTACATGTGTATGTATATTCACAATTAGGCAGAAACCTTTGCCTATGTATAATGCAAATAAATGAGATATTAGTGATAAGTTTATTTGTAAAATGTATTACTAATAACACCAGGAAAGAAGCTATAGAGAAAAGGTGCTCACCTTGGCTCTTTTCCTGGCATGACCATGGTTGGATGTCCGCCTCTGTTAGAAGGGGATTAGAAAATATTAAAGGTGGGGAAAATCAACACAAGTTAAAAGTAATACAAGTTTAAGTACTAACTGCAAAACTGTTACATAGCCAAATTATGATGAGACCCACTTGGTGTGGTTATTCCCCTGTGCTCCAACTCTAGCAACCATGACACAGAAGCCACTACAGGCCACTTATAGACAAATCACCATTCACCATGCAGATAAAAAGTAGGAAGACATTGACTGGTTGGCCTATTCCACAGATTGATAAAAATTACTTTTGGGTAAACCACAGAACACTCTTGTTTATGATACTTGTGGACATGAAATATGACTCCTAACCATCACTTATAATAATATCTTTATAGGACAATCCATTCAGAGTTCCAATCTGAAATATCCAAATCACCTATCCCTATTGCTGCAGAAATGGAATAAAGATCTTGTCAACCGTCTTCCTCCAAGAATTGTCCCAGTTCTAAGCTCCTGGTGGTGGCTCTTATTATAGACTGCCTGGGTCAGGAATACAAGATGGGACAGGATAAAAAGTAGGGAGAATGGAAGATATGGATAAGACCTCCGGAGCAAAGGGAGGATAAGGAGAATGGGTAAGGAGTAGGGTAGAAGATGAAGGATGAGGGCCTGAGGTTGGAGGAGGGAAGAAAAAACTAATTAATTGATGAAGTTTCTGAACAGCTGAAAAGTCAAAATGCGGCTTTTGGAAAGAGGCTGGGTAGAGTTATGTACGGGATGAGGTACTTAGGGCTTCTGAGATGATTAGAATGGAACTCACTGGCACTGGAGTAGAAGAGAACTGAGGCAGGTGGGTTGGGGAGGGAAAACAAGACAGAGTCAGAGTACCAGCACACTCCTGGGTAGGTGAGGATTTCCTTTTCTTCGTTGTCTTCTCTAATTACTGAACAAGACAACTACAATGCAAAATGGAGGACCGGAAGAGTGAATGGAAAGAGTAAGAAATGACAATGACGGTGGATCTGGTCAGTGGCAAGATCTTACAGTAAGGGAAGAGTAAGAGTCATAGTCCAGGAATATGAAATAGTATTTTGTCATTATTTTTTCAGATAGGTAATAACACAAACATTCAAGAGGTATTAATGGGGGCATCTGTCCTCCAGCTACCTGGTTCTCTCAATTAATACTGAATTTCTTATAAAAAAAAAATCTTTCCAGAGATCTTTTATGCATATAAGCTTATTGTACATGTGTATACACACAAGTTTATTTGTTTTTAAACCAAATAGAAGTAGGTTGTACACATTTCTCTGAACCTTGCTTTTAAACTATTTTTTTTCCCATGGATATCATTTTATAGAAGATCTACTGTCTTTATTAATGGCTACATGGTATTCCATTGTATGGCTGTTCTATAACTTATTTTACCAATCCCTTAAATTGCACCATTTTGGAAGTTTCTGATCGTTTGTTAGTATAAACAATGTTTCAATGACCATAACACTGAGTATACCTAAAAATAAAGTATATTTGTAATCCATTTAAAAATTTTATACGGTAAAGTATTACAAATTGCCCTTCAATGAGGTTTTATCAATTTATAACCCTACAGCAATGTATCTATAAATCTGCTTATTTTCCAGAATGGATAGTTTTCATTCAATAGTCAAATATATATTAAAAGCATAATATATCTACTAGACACCATGCTAACTACTAGAGGATACAGAGATAAAAGACACAAACCTTGTCAAAAAGGAACTCATAATCCTGTTGAAGAAGACAAATAGACAATTACAATATAGTACATTAAGTATATTACAGAGGTTCTTGTGGAGTGCTACAGGAACACACAGCATAACTGCCAAACTCAGACCTTAGCAATATTGAGTGCCTGTAAGGAACTGTGTTGGGCCTTAGAGATACAATGATAAGCCCAAACTGACCTAATCCTGGGCCTCAGAGCTTAGAGTTCTGTGGAGAAGATAGACATTAATTGAAGAATTATACAATATAGATCTGCAATGGGTGAGTAAGGTTGTCAAGGAAGGCTTCTGGGAGAAAGACACATTTGGATTGAGTTTTGAAGGATAAATGGATATTAGACAGATGTTGGCAGAGGGGATTTAGGGGCTGGAGGAGACCAGGGAAAGAATACAAAGGAGGGCATTCTAGGCAGAGAAAGCTTGTACAAAAGCATGCTTTCCCAAAACTTTTCAGTCCCTATTTATAACAAGGTCAGAGATTCCTATCACATAGGCTGAAGCATAGGACGCCAGAGGTGGATGACTGGCAGGTAAGGGACTAGGTCACAATATGTAAGGCTGACAAATCTGGGACTTAGCCTAGGGCAATAAGACACACAGAAAGTTTGAGGAGAATTAACACAATCAGATCTTTATTTCACAACCATCTTTCTAAAGCAGTATGGTAAATGAATCAGAAGAAATTACAATTTTAAAGGCAGAAAGCCCAGCTAGGAGGCCATAACCAGTTGGTTAACTGAAGGACCCATCTAAGTTCAATATATGTTAAAAGTCAGAGCCTGCCCATTCTAAACTGAATCTCAGAACCTGCCTTTTATAGCACTGTTTCCATGCAAAAGATGTTCTGAGCTCCAATTGCTGATTCCAAGAATATGTCTCACACAGTATAAGTAATCAAAGTCCCCTTCCCCCAAACTTTTCACCTCCAGTGCATAACAGGCGCTCCCTTGACAGCATCAGTAAGATTCTTGGGGAGACCTCTAGAGTGTGAGTCAGGGGGAAGGTAGGGAAAAGAATAGCACTTTTAGTGTTGTTGAAGGGGTACAAGATCTTTTGGGAAATGGTAGAGGGGAGAGGGCTTCCAAAGGGTGGCCAAAAAGACTGGAGACTTTGTAGAAGGAGCAGGGGCTCCAGTAGATGGCAGCAGCAGCTCCACCTGCTCTAAGGAGTCAGAGGGGAAACAGGTTCCCTTCTCCCTGCCCAACTATTTGTATATCTAGGTGAAGACATTTTTAAACCAAGTGAGTGTCCATAAGGCATATAAAACCTATAAACATCCTTTCTTTTCTACCTGTATTAAAGAAATACATAAAATAGGAGTTCAGAACACAGCTTAAAATAATCTCCTGAGAACAGAGTAACTTGGACCCAAAAGTTCATTTAATTATCATCTTCCAAGTACCATGACAGTGCATAATTAAACATTCTTCATATATCTTCCCTAGGGAATTAAAATTCATTATTGGTACCAGTGGAGGCTAGAAGTATAGATGAAACAGTGGCAGACTGTCTCCACAAACTCTGGAAGGATGAGCAGGGAATGACAACTCACATGCAAGATAATGGAAGGAAAAGCAGCCATGACAGAGATCTGGCAAACTGTTAAGAGGAAAGACAGAAAAGCAGGCAGCTAGAGAACATAATATTTCAAAGAGCTGTCTTATTTTAATTCATCTCTTTATGTTGTTGCTGTTTTAATCTTTAAAGAAGACAAGGCCTAGGTGTAATGGGTTGTCAAGGGAAATTATGCTTTAAGTTTCCAGGCTCTCCAAAATGTTGTGCTACTGCTTTTTAAACTAATTTACTAGAGTTAACAGTCTATTTCCTAAGCATATAATAAATACTAGTTTCACTGCTGGGCATGAAGGAATGGTTATATGTAATTTGGGCTAGGATAACAGAGGAAACCAGCAGTGACCACGGAAGAAGAGGAGGACTGGAACAAGTAAGCTAGATGAGACTCAGAGTCTGGGATGCCTGGGTACAGAGGAGCCCTGAAGGAAGCTCAGCTGACCATCACCTACTGCCAGCATGTCTGCACTGTCATATGAATCTGGATGGAGAACATTGCAACCAAAGAGTGAATTCCTCCCACTTACATTTTCCAAGTAGCAAGTTCAGAGACTATTTCTGATCCAGAAAATGCTGACTGCTTTAACACAACCAGGATATGAATTTAACACTGTGTAAAACCAGGCAGCCCCAGTTTTAAGAGTTTCTTGTATGAGCCATATTATGACTTGTTAAATATGTGTTTGTATACAGTTTATTTTTATTTTATTATTTTTTAAATATATTTTATTGATTTTTTACAGAGAGGAAGGGAGAATGAGAGGGATAGAGAGTTAGAAACATCGATGAGAGAGAAACATCGATTCAACTGCTTCCTGCACACTCCCTACTGGGGATATGCCCGCAACCAAGGTACATGCCCTTAACTGGAATCGAACCTGGGACCCTTCAGTCCTTCAGTCCACAGGCCAACGCTCTATCCACTGAGCCAACCGGTCAGGGCTACAGTTTATTTTTTGATAGTTAAAAAATATCAAAATATAGCAAGAAGCAGTGTAACTCAGATCTAAATGGGTTAGGGCTTTCACTCTTGTCTTCTTTCGACTTCATTATGGAATCTATGGCAAAAAGGGAAGGAGATATTTCTTGAGAGCTGAAGTTGGGTTTTTAGGGAGAATCAAGTGTTCTTATAAGTGACTGGCTTCCTATAGATCCCCCAACGCCACCTATAAAGACCCTTCTGTTCAGGTATAAAGAGTGTGCATATATGCACTTCTAATCCTTACCTGTGTCTCCTGACGCAAACTGGTATCTTCACTCTCTTTCTCAATTTCTTCTTTACTTGGAGTCTTAGATATAAACTTGTTTTTGCTTACAGATTCTTCTACCAGTTTTTTTTCTGATTCTTTCATTATTTCCAGGGTCTCTTGAGTAGTGTTACTATTAGACATCTTCTTCAATAGAATACAGTAGGCTCTATGGACTCCTAAAGAAACATCAAATGCATTAAATAGGAGGTGTGTATTCATACTTAACACATCACATAAGACTTGTATTGCACATACAAGTCTTCAGTGGCTTCCCTATAACCCAGAAAAAGGCCCTCTGACAAACACTATCTTTGGATCTGTTTATTTTCTTCTTTTGGTTGTTGTTTTGTTAATCCTCGCCTGAGTATATTTTTCCATTGATTTTTAGAGAGAATAGAAGAGAGAGGGAGAGACAGAGAGAAACATCGATGTGAGAGAGACACATCAATTGGTTACTTCCTGCAAGCACCCTGACTAGGGCCGGGGAACCTGCAACCAAGGTACATGCCCTTGACTGGAATCAAACCCAGGATCCTTCAGTCCGCAGGCTGACACTCTATCCAATGAGCCAAACCGGCTAGGGCTGTTTATTTTCCTTTTAAAAAAAGCTTTATTGAGGTAAAACTTTATACAATAAACTGCATATAGTTAAAATGTACAGTTTAATGAGTTACAATGGTTTCACATGCATATATTTGTGAAACCATCACCACAACCAAAATAATAAGCACATTTATCACCCCAAACTTTGCCCCTTCTCTTTGGTAAATCCCTCCTCCCTTCCCTGCCTTTCCCAGCCAACCACTGATCTGCTGGCACTACACATTCGTCTCCATTTTCTAGAATTTTAGTCATAATTATCTGGATTCTTTTACTCAGCACAATTATTTTGAGTCACCAGAATTTGGTTCTAAAGTAATGTAGTATGAATCCTCTTGGCACCTATTTCCCTCCCTTATTCCCTACAGCAATCTGCACACATTTTTAGCTTGAGCACTTCAAAGAGTTAACTCACTAGACTCTCCAGAAAGAAAAATCTATAACAATAAAAGCATAATATGCTAATTAGACCAGATGACCTTCCGGACGAAGCTGGGGCTGCGAGGGAAGCCCAGGTCCTGGGTGCCTGCCGGCGGCCAGAGGGAAGCTGGTGCCAACAGCCGGGGGAAGGAAGGCCTACTCTTTTTAAAAAAAATTAATTTAATTTAATTTTATTGTTTAAAGTATTAGAAACAGTAGTATATATGTCTCCTTTTTTTCCCCATTGACCTTCCCCCGGCCTCGCCAGTGCTGGCATCCGGGGGAAGGAAGGCCTACTCTTGTATGAATTTCGTGCATAGGGCCTCTAGTATATTATAAAGCTCTATTCACTAACAGAGAGGACCAATCTCCTTTCCTAAGGGAGAAATTCCACAGCTATCACAAACCACAACATTGTTACCAACTTCAAGCCTCTCCCCCATCAAAAAGCAGCAAAATAAAAAAATGGTTATAGAATCTTAATTTTTTTCCTTTACCTTAAGCAAGCTGAAAAGGCAAGAAGAGTACTCTAGTTATATGTCCTTCAGAAAGACTGGGTCTCTCCCTGGAGGAAGAGAGGATCTTTTCTTTGCTATTCACTATTTTTATTCAGTCATTCTACTGCATTCCATAGATACAGAGTATCTGTAGTGCAGGGGTGGCCGGCTCTTTATCACTTACTATTGCTACCTGGGAAGTCCTGTAATGAAGTCAACACAGTTTTCCAAGTATACATTTAAAATATATTTTATTGATTTTTTACAGAGAGGAAGGAAAAGGGATAGAGAGTTAGAAACATCGATCAGCTGTCTCCTACACACTCCCTACTGGAGATGTGCCCGCAACCAAGGTACATGCCCTTGACTGGAATCGAACCTGGGACCCTTGAATCCGCAGGCCAACGCTCTATCCACTGAGCCAAACCGGCTAGGGCCCAAGTATACATTTAGAAACAGAAGTTAATGCTCTACACAGATTCATGTCCTCAACCACTGAAGTCAAACACGCTTAGCTCTAACAATGGTTTGCAGAGGTTTCTCCTTACATGGTTAATGATTGTATTTTAATCCTGAATACTTTCCCTCCTTTAAAAATAGACTGAAAACTCTCCCAAATGCCATGTCTATTCCATGTAGCCCTAGAAATGAGCTAAACAAACAATCAGCAATGCTTTAAAAAAACCTTTCACATTAGACATTTTTTCCTTTTTCAAATCAGTTTAACGGTTAAGACCCAAAGACTAAGACTCTTAAGAAGCACAGGTAAGTTCATCCTGGCATAAGATAGTCTGCAAGATCATTGCTTTGTTTACCTTGTGGCAGCTCTTGAGCAGCTGTCTAGAAACTTAGTTTGCATAGTGCTAGATAAATTCCCTTTAAAAGGCCAGAAAGTCATTCATACAATCATAGTCATACATCTGAATTTAAAGATGAGAAGTGTGGGAAGAAACTGACTACAAAAGAAAATGGCCGATGTTCTATTTTTTAATTAATTGATTCAGTACCTAGAGAGTTCTATAAAAAGAGTTATAACCTACAGAGCTTTATGGATCATTGGTTGTACATAAGAACTGCATATACACATATATTTATCCATCTCCCCTTTCCATGAGTAAATCAAGCCTCCATTCTCTTCAGTTTGAAATATAGTAAAACTTGGTGCATGCCCTCTCCGTATCCCTTAGCTGGAAAACATCAATAATGATCAGAATCAGAAAAGTTCTTAGATATCACCTCATGCAATCTCCCCTCATGTCCCCAAAGAAGAGCTCCTGGAAAACTCCTGGGACAGATAATTTCACTAATTCTTAAACAGTTTTAACTGTTATATACTGTAGTTGCACCCTATCACAGGCTACAAACTGCTTCAATCTTTATTCTAAATCTGCCTTAGGATCACACAAAATTAAGTTTACTTCTTTTTCACATGATAGACCAACATTTTTCTTTTTTAGGCTTAAATAGCCAAACACAGATTTCTCTGTCAGAAAGAGAAGTTGAGGGGTGGGGAGGTGGTGGAATTGGATGAAAGTGGTCAAAAGGTACAAACTTCCAGTTATAAGATAAAGAAATACTAGGTATTTAATGTACAGCATAATGACTATAGTTAACACTGTGTATGGTATATTTGAAAAGACTTAAGAGTCTAAGTAGATCTTAAAAAAGTTTTCACTATAAGGAGAAAAACATTTTTTGGTAACTATATGAGGAGATGGATGTTAACTAAATGTACTGTGGTAATCATTTCACAATATATATATGTCAAGTCATTATGTGGTACACCTTAAACTTACACAGAGCCGTATGTCAATTAAATCGCAATAAAACTGGAGAGGGGGGTATAATATGGAAAAATATAAAGCAGCTGGTTGTTTCTTTTTCCAGGATGGGCCTCAATTATCAAATAGGTATATTTCTTCAAATCAGTGACAACTTTGCCGCTCCTGTTCACATGTGGGTCAGAAAAGGCTCAACTATCTGACTAACTTCACGATGTCCCAGCACTGTTGCTCAGCCAAAGCACTAAGGAAAAAAACCCAATCAAACAAAAAATGATTTTTCTTAACAGTCATATTGGAATAGGGTCACATATTCCAACTCAAATTTTAAGGAGCCACATGGTTTCCAGGTTTCCTTCATTCATTGAGAAACAGAAAAACTTGCACTTTAGATACTTTAAGACATCCATAAAACAGACAGTGATTAATGAGTCTATTTTTAATAATTTTGAGAGTCCTCTCAACTGAGATCACTGGCCTCTTGAAGAGCTGTGTAAAACAAAGTAATTCGTACTCTGAGGAAAAATAAAGCAGCAGAGGAAAAGGTACAGTAGCACATTATACTGGCTGACTACTTAAATCTCCCCTTTCTTCTACACTTAATCTATCCCAGACTTTCTTCTGGTGTCTGCCTTCCTCTAAGGACACATGATCAGGGAAGATGATCATATTCCTGAGACCTAGGAGGAAGATTTTAATTAGCTGGACCAATTGTGGTAATTCCTTTTCCTTTTTCCTGTTTTGGGAAGGGACAAATGACTCATCAACAGTAAGACATGAGAGGATTTTGCTGGGTGGGTGCCTTCAAAGAACAGCTTCCTACTGTATTATTTAAAAAAAAAAAAGGTCACTATAAAAAAAAGGTAGCTATCTTCTGCTGAAGGTTGTCTTATACGCAGATGATGCCTGGACTGTGGCAACATCCTACCAACACATGGAAGATGGTAGAGCAGAGAGAATAAGTCTGGATCCTTGATGCTGTGGTGCAGAACAGACATTGAATTAGTCAATCTGGACCCCGCCTACCCTCCCAGCTCTGTACTTCTTGATGTGTGAGGTCACAAATCCTCTTATCATTTAAGCTATTTTGAGTTGAGTTTACTGTTCCTTCTAGCTAAAAGCACTTGAGATAGTCAGAAAGGGTATGTTAAGCCCTGGCTGGTGTGGCTTGATTGATTGGAATGTCCTCCTGTACACTGAAAAGGTTTTGGGTCCAATTCCCACTCAGGGCACATATCTAAGTTGTGGGTTTGATCCCCAGTTGGGGTGCATATGAGAGGTAACCAACTGATATTTTTCTGTCGTATCAATGTTTCTCTCTCTAAAAAAAATCAATAAACATCTCCAGGTGAGGATTAAAAAAAGAGGGGGGAGGGAGTATCTGGACCAGACAGAGAAACCTAGCTCCGCACATAGAAATGATTGACAGGGACAGAGATAATAATAATCAGCTAAAAATTTTGAAATGTTTACATTGTGCCAGGCACTATTCTAAAGTGCTTATGTATCTCATTTAATCTTACAACAATCCTATGAGATAAATATTATCATCACTATTTTACAGATAAATAAACTGAGTCACAGAGAAGTTAAATAATTTGCTAAACGGCATACAACTGGTACACGGAAGAAGTAGGACTCAAAGTCAGGAAATACAGCTCTAGTGCTTGCTTTCTTAACCTTTATGCAATACTGCTTCTAACTAAGGCCAGGCAAGAAAATGAAAAGTCTATCAAAGATACAAAGGAGCCCTATCTGGTTTGGCTCAGTGGATAGAGAGAGCATCAGCCTGCGGACTGAAGGGTTTGGGTTTGGTTTCGGTCAAGGGCACATGCCTGGGTTTCGGGCTTGATCCCCAGTAGGGGGCGTGCAGGAGGC